TTGTTGTTGTTGTTGTTGTTGTTGTTGTTGTTATTATTTCTGTTGTTTCTAGAAGTAGTAAATTTGATAATAGTCAATAGAAAAAAAATATAACCACACACACGTTGTTTGTCCACAGAATAATTACACCCCTTTAAATAAAAGGCGTCCCCGCACGAACCTCTACCTCCGCCAGCAGGACCTCAATTTCAGACTTTTTCTTTGTGCTTGCCATTCTCAAGCATAGAAATTCGGATATTGGCGTGTGCTCTTTTATACGGTAATGATATTAATTAGGGGGCGTTTACAAGGCGGAGGACTGACACCAGTCAGCTGCGCACAATTTCAAGATCATTTGCGATTTATAAATGTCACATCTGTAAGAGAGGCGTACGCACATGTTTTTGTGTGCACGTTCGTTTTCTCTGAATCGCACTTACGCACTTTTGAGAAATGATCTTAGAACAAATTTAGGATGGTTTATACGCAACATTTTATAAATGAGGCCCCAGGAGCCATGATTCTTCGAAAAAAATAAATAAAAGATGAGGGGATGAATTAAAGCATATCTCAATTGTATTTGTTTTGACTTATTTTATTTCATGTTTTGTTTTTTTGAGGACTTCTTGGAGGTTTGCTGAAGCCCTGTAGTGGGTTCCGGCCCCTGGTTAAAACCATTAGCAGTACAGATAAAGGTAATTTCATGTAAAAAATAAAAATTCGTACTTTTTATTTTTTTTCTTGCTATGGTAGGCTGCAAGGGTTTTTGAAATAATTTGAAGTGATATGGAACTGCCTGCAGGTACTTGAGCTGTGAATGTTCTGAGAACTCTGCACATTAGAATGTCTGTAAAGCACTCCGAATCAAACATTCACCAACCCTTTGGTATAAATTATTGCATTTATTGGTCAATTCTTACAATGGCACAAGCTAACCAGAACAAAATCTTTGTTCTAGGAAGACTGTAAACCCATCTGCATGCCGTTTTAAAAACATTTGTATTATTGGTAATTTGTGCAACAAGAAGCATTCCAAGAAAAAAACAACTTTGGCTTGGTAGTAACTTTGACACAAACGTCTTTGAAAAAAAAAGTGATTCCATTACAGTAAATTTAAATCGGGTCATTTTTACATTCACTAAGACAAAAATAACATTACTAAGCCAAATAATTTCATTCAGCAGTAGCCAATTCATTTTTTAGATGACATTTCTCCCAAAGCAGTGATTATAATATTTTCCTCAATGGTTAGTGGTGAACAACCTCTTTTTATTACATTAATTGTCAATAATAAACACATGGGGATTCCTGCCAGTGAAAGCTCTAGACACACTGTGAAGCCCGAAAACAAACTGATCAGGGTGTTGATGATGATGATGATGTGACCAAAACCAGCTGCTGTTTATCTATGATAAAGTCTCAAGATCCATCATGGACGCAGCTTTTCTCCGTTGTGATATCACACTCAGCTGAAACAGTAGTAGTAGTTTAGAGGGATTCTGTACAACAACAGTTGGGTTCCACAAGTAAAAACCCCATGCAGCTTCTCTATTAGGGGAACTGATTTTTAACGATAATTTATAAACATTTAAAGATAGACCTACTGTGAGCTACAGGGTTATTAATCAATGGTACATGCTGTCAGTCTGAAATATATATATATTTTTTTAAATAATCCTGTTGAACAGCAAAATTCCTGGTGAAAAACTACATCACCCATGATTATGCAAAAAAATTCAGAGAATTGCAATTTATGCCAAAAAACATATACACTTCATGGGATTGTAGTTCTTTCCATCCTTTAAACTGTAAAATACACAGTCTTGTACCTTTGTGTTTTTGTCTGCTTTTTAAACACTTTTTTTTTGTTTCAAATTAAAGTCTGTAATATTGTGATTGCCCTTGTAGCTGTTGGGTTTGGTTCATGGCTTATAACTCTAAAATGAACACTTTAAAAATCCCAACAGGGTAAATCCTTCCGGAACCAAGGCTGCTAAAAAAGTGAGTGGCCACTGTTGCATTCAATAGGCAGGAAGTGTGTAAATATCAAATATGGTGCGTATACCTGTTGTGATGCACTGGCCACACGTTGCTCTGCCTGAGTAAGACGCCTCTGTAGACGCGTGTTTTTCTCCTGATGCTCTGAAACCTGCCTCTCATACTAGGGGTAAAAGTGATATAACATGACTCGCTGGAAACCCAACAGAAATTCAAACACTTCCAGCACACATCTAGTAGAAACAAAACTGCACGTCCACACCTCCAGTATCTTCTGATGATCAGCTTCCACCTGGATCTCCAGTTCCTGAGCGCGCTGTTTCTGTCTGTTCAGCTCTGACCTGCAACAATCATAGTCATTTTAATTGAACCTTCCTGATGCTGCGATCCAGACTTGACCTGCTTTATTCAATAAATTCACATTATGTGTAATCAATAAGCTTGTTATATGGTAATTACTGTCTCAATACAATGAAAATAAGCATGAGCAATAACATGTTTCAGCCATGATAGGGTGTTCTGTGTATCATTCACATCCATTTAACGGAGCAGGATGAGTTACACACCAAAGTTTAATACTTAGTGGTCTGTCCAGATCACTAACCCTAAATATGAGCAACAGTAATAGTGATTTTTGCCTTAGCAAACAATACTTCTGCGGGATTTGTGTGTGCCAAGTAAGCGTTCACCTGAGGCTGTTGAGTTTCTGCTGGAAAGCCTGTGTGAGGTTCTTGGCCTCGTCTTTGTAGCGGCTGATGGTTTTCTGTTGAGCGAGCAGCAGTCTGGTCGAACCAGCGCTGGAGTTTTTACTGCTCTCCTCCATCTCTCTCAGCCTGGCCTCCAAACCCCGCTCCTTCACACACAGCTCCTGCTGCATCGAAGACACCTACACACGCAAACAAAACCCTGTGAAAGACTCCATATCCTACACTTCTAGCCATTCTATTTTCCCCTCTGAAGTCCATTTATAATGTTTCTTGCACTAAAATTTAGGTTTTTTTGGACTATTTGAGATGATCTCTGAACATTAGAACTGCACAAGCTGTTCTTGTGCCTTAAAAGGTTAGTTCAGCCAAAAATTAAAGTTCTGTTATTAATTTCTCACACTGAAGTCATTGAAAACCAGTAACACTTTTAATTTATCTTGGAAGCACAAATTAAGATATTATGAAACCTGAGATATTTCTGACCCTGAAAGTCCATTCCATCAAATATGGTAAAAGGAAACTCAACCGTACTTACTTGACATGCGAGAGCAAACCTCATTTGTTTGAGCTTTTCTTTACCATATTTGATGTGCTCTATGTATGCACACTGATCAGTGTCTATATGTGAAGAAAAGCTTTGAATCTGTTCATCATATAAAGTAAACGTGTTTTTTTAAGAACTCTGATTAAACTGCTCAATTCTTGTGGACTACTTTTATGATGTTTTTATGAGCTTTTTAAATCATGAAAGTTTTGGGGGAATGGACTTTCAATAGAGCGACAGAAATCTCTCAAGTTCGATGAAAAATATCATTTGTGTTGATGATGATGACGTGTGTTTGGAATAAAAAAAAAAAAGACTGAATAACTGATGACAGATTTTTGGGTGAACTATTCCTTTTACAACTTTATGTAAAGGACCTCTGTTATGATTGGTTAACCTATGCATATCAGTGTAGTTCACACTGTTGTTCATCAGGTTGGGCCAGGTTCCTGAATACTTATCTGTTAATATATAAATATGGGTGCTAATGTGCTCACAGTTGTGACGTCAATACTCTAAAAGGTATAGTTCACCCAAAAATACTTTTTTTCTTATGTTGTTTCAAATATTACTTTATTCTATGGAACAAAAAAAATATATATTTTTTTATATTTTGAAGAATGTTTCTCTTTTTCAATAAATTAGATACATTAAATTAGTGCTGTCAAACGATTAATCGCAACAAAAACATTTATTTTGGATGCGATTAATCATTTGACAGCACTACATTAAATATATTTTGTGTTTCACATTAGAAATACAGTCATACAAGATTCAATTGATGTGAATGTGAGTAAATTATTATTATTTTTTTTTTGGGTGAACTATCCCTTTAAGGGGCAAACAGCAGCTTTGTATGACTGTCTATGACAGGGGTGTCAAACTCAATTCCTAGAGGGCCGGAGCCCTGCAGAGTTTTGTTCCAACACTGCTTCAACACACATACTAGCTAGCTTTCAAATAAGCCTGAAAGACTTGATTAGTTGGATCAGGTGTGTTTAATTAGGGTT